ATTTCAGTGGATTTCAGTAGTATTATGTCATTATGGCTACTTCTTTCCTAGCCGCGTCGTTTGTGATGATGGAAGTTGACCTCAACACATGTTTGTAAGTTTGATGTCAATTTTCAATTTGACGACACTGTATGAAATGAAACAGGGAGAAAAAAGCAGCCCTTGCTGATTTTCTTGCCGGTTCTTCTCATTACAAGGTCTCCCGCCGTAGATTTGCGAACCGTTGGCGTAGTTTTCGACTTTCACATGCGCTTGTAAAAGCGTAAACTGAATTTAGGATTTTTGAATTTAATTCAATTCAATTCAAGTCAATTCAATTCAATTCAATTTATTGCACTCATGTGGTTACATGGATGGTTACAAGTTTCTAAAAATAAATAAATAAAAAAAAAAAAAAAGTTACATAATGCATAAAGTACCTAACATGAACCCTGTCAGGGTATCGCAATATAGATAAAAATTACAAAAGAGAATTTAACAAATAAACAATTATCTATATGAAGAACCTAATTTTTATTAAACAACTTTTTTTTTTCTCAAAGCATGCATAAATGTCATCTGATTTCATTAATTTTATAACTCACTCAATTGATCTTATTTACAGTACTAGTTTAATTTTGTAATTATTATTATGGGTATTCGTTTATAAAATTAAATTTGTCAATAATTAAAATTAGTAACTATTTCAATAAAAATCAAATAATATGTCAATAAACATGATTATAATAATCAAGGTTTGTATTTTAAAGATCGCCTCATTAATATTCATCATCATCATTTAATTGAATTAAATTGTGTTGCTCTATGTATTATGGTAATATACAGGAATGGGAATGGTGCTTACTACGTCGCACTCTAGAAGGGCTCCCCGTAAGCGTGGAGGCGGCACAAGAACCTCGTTGGGAACTATTCCACGCGCATCAACTTAGAACTGCACTCGCCGCCTGCGACTTGCCTACACGTACGTACCATTCTCTTCTATAGAAATGGAAACAACGGACTGTTAGAAGGTTGTATTTAAATCTAAAGAAAATATGAAAAGAAAAAAATCCTCGCGGTCTAGGCAGCAGACGGGACCCGAACCCGCACCCTTCGCAATCGAATGCACTGACCAATTATGCTACCGCAGCCCTGACGGCCGCGTCGAAATTCCTCTAGCCATTCTTATGCTGCAAGGCAGCGCCATTTCTTCGCATTGTAGGTAACCCACAATTTACAGCTTAACAATGGCTAGAGGAATTTCGACGCGGCGCGGAGGATTTATATTTTTAAAGCGTTGTTGGGTGAAGATAGATAATGTTCGCTTAGTACTTATCTGCGGTGCAGTCGGGAGGCGGTGTAAACAATAATCCAGCACTTCACAGTTAATAGTTTATTGCACAAGCACAGAGGAAAGTATATATAATAGAAGGAGTACAGAGCACAGTCAGTGATAAACAAGCACAAAAGTATAAAGGAAAAGCACAGACAAAGCAACATAAACAATAATACAGTTGACTACAACTACGAGTGTCGGGGCTATAAAGCGAGGAGCAATTGATCGTGCGTACGGTACAGAGTATAGGTTCCGACTCTCGTGCAACGTGACCTATGCGCGTGAGCCGGCCGGTTTGCCGAACAATAGGCGGCGAAGTGAGTGCGCGTGTCCATTCGCCACACGACTGTTATAGATCGGCTGATGCACGGCACGATATAGTGTAATTGTTTTGAAATAAATGTTTGTGCTTGTGATGACAGTATATGAATATAATTAATAAATATTGTTATATATTAAATGTAAATAATAAATGTTATTTTGTATAAATGTAAATATATTTGGTTTTAATAATTAATGTTTTATATTTATTTGTAGTTATAAATTGTAAATACATATTATATAATATTTTATATATTTCAAAATATTTATATAACATCTATAGATAAGATTGTGGGAGAACCCCACATAACCCCCCCTCAGAGACCTGGTTAGGGTCGATAGTAATCTGGGAAACGGACGTGTCTCCCAGAGCGTGTGGTTTTTTGAGGCTGGGTTTCAGTGGGTGTGTGTGTACTGTGTGTATGTGTATTAGTGGTGTTTGGAAGAGTGTCTGTGTGTGTGTCATGTATAAGGTCTTCCTCGTCTGTAAGCGTGAATGCTGGTTTTAAGCGATCGATGCTCACGGTGACGGGATTGCCTTTGACAAGAAGTTTAAACACCTTGTCGCTTCTCTCTAATACCTTATGAGGTCCAGAATAGGCAGGTTGGAACGTCACACGTGAAGCATCTTCTCGCAGAAAGACATAATTGGCAGCGGCTAATTCTTTGAAAACAAAGATTTTGTGATTGCCATGGCGAGATGCTGGAACAGGCTTTAGTTTTTCGGCGTACGAACGTAACCGCGCTGTAAAATCTGACAAGTCAGATGTGCCAGGTGTGTTCGGATGGAAAAATTCGCCAGGGAGTCTTAATGGTTCGCCGTATAATAGTTCTGCCGTAGAAGATTGTAAGTCCTCTTTGAAGGCGGTACGGATGCCAAGCAGCACAAAAGGTAACACCTCAATCCAATTTTGTTGGGCATGGCAGGTAATGGAGGCTTTCAACTGCCTGTGAAAGCGTTCCACAAGACCGTTACATGCCGGGTGGTAAGCGGTGGTGCGTTTATGGTGGAACCCTAGTGTTTTTGCGAGATATTGAAACAGTGCGGACTCGAATTGTGCGCCGCGATCTGTCACAATATCTATAGGGCAACCAAAGCGAGATACCCAACCAGATATTAAGGCCTTCGCGACTGTTTCGGCTGTTATGTCAGTCAATGGCATGACTTCAGGCCACCGTGTGAATCGGTCGATAGCCGTCAGGCAATATCTGTATCCTTGACAGATGGGTAAGGGACCGATAAGGTCGATATGGACGTGCTTGAATCGCGCGCGAGGCAAGTCGAAAGTACCTAAAGGTGCAGATACGTGTCGACTCACCTTTGCACGCTGGCACGACGAACAAGTGCGAACCCACTCGCGACAGTCCTTTCTCACTCCGGGCCATATGAATCTGTCGGCAACGAGCCGTGCAGTGGCTGTGGCACCGGGGTGACTAAGTGAGTGGAGGCTTTCAAATACCTGTCTGCGCAATCCTTTGGTGATGAATGGCCTGGGAGTCGGTGTACTGATGTCACAGTACAGAGGAGTTTGACAACCAGGGTATTGCATCTTCTCGAGACGGAGTGATGAAGGGTCTGACAGATATTGGGCCAGTTCTGTGTCGGATTCTTGAGCTTGGGCGAGGTTGGCAAGGGAAATCGGTGTGGCCAGTTCATCAACGCGAGATAAGGTGTCGGCAACGACGTTGTTTTTGCCGGAGATATGCCTTATATCGGTTGTGAACTGGGATATGTAGTCCAGATGACGGAACTGCCTAGGCGAACAATTACGCTTCCGCTCATGGAAGGCGTACCAAATCGGCTTATGGTCCGTGTACACTACGAAATGCCTTGCCTCAAGCATATGCCGGAAGTATTTTATTGACTCGTAGATCGCGAGGAGTTCGCGATCGTACGGTGAATACTTCTGCTGAGCTGGGTTGAGTTTCCGGGAGAAAAAGGCTAAGGGTTCCCATACGTCACCTCTTTGCTGCTGAAGGACGGCTCCTATAGCCAGGTCTGATGCGTCTGTAACCAATGCCAGCTGGGCTCGACAATCTGGATGTGCCAAGAGAGCTGCATTGGAGAGGCTTTCCTTGGTATCTGTAAAAGCCTTCAGAGCATCGTCAGCTAGGGTGACGGGTGTGGAACCTTTTACTGCCCCCATGAGCAAGCTGTTCAAAGGCCCTTGGGTTTGAGCGGCGTTGGGCAAAAATCGCCTATAAAAATTGGCCATGCCCAAAAACCGTCTAAGAGACCTGACGTCTTTTGGTGGGGGGAAGTCGCGGATGGCTTGTACCTTTTGGTCCAATGGTTTGGTTCCGCTCTCCGAAATAAGATAACCTAAAAAGGTTACCTCGGGAGCACCGAAAACACACTTAGACACATTGACGACCATGCCATAGTCCCGGAGTCTGGTGAATACTTGCCTGAGGTGGTCTTCGTGGCTTGTGTGGTCTCTGCTAAAGATCAAAAAATCATCTAAATAGCAGTAGACAAAGTCCAGGCCTCGTGTCACCTCATCAACAAAACGTTGAAAAGTTTGGCCTGCATTTCGCAGACCAAACGTCATATAAGGAAATTCGAACATACCGAAGGGTGTGGTGATGGCGGTCTTCGGTATGTCCTCCTTGCAGACTGGTATCTGGTTGTACGCCTTTTCAAGGTCAATGGTGCTGAAGACCTTGCAACCAGAGATGTTATGGGCGAAGTCATGAATATGACGTATTGGGTACCTGTCTGGTATGGTCCGTGCGTTGAGCTGCCTGTAGTCGCCACAAGGACGCCAGCCGTTGTCTTTCTTCGGCGCCAGGTGCAGGGGAGAAGACCACGGACTTTCGGAAGGTCGAGCTGTGCCATTGGCTACCATGGCGTCGAACTCAGCCTTCGCTATTTTCAATTTGTCCGGCGCTAGACGTCTGGGTGCAGACGAAACTGGAGGACCTGGTGTGGTGCGGAGTTGGTGCTGTGTATTGTGTGGTGTGGTGCGTTGTGTACCAGCTGGTCGCGTGATCTCTGAAAAATCGCGAGAAAGCAAAGCATGGTAACGCGATTCACCAGTAGGAACCTTTACAGAAAGCACGTTGTTAGAAGCTAAAGCCAGTGAAGCTGGGGCAGAAACAGTAGTAGTTTTATCAATAAGCTGCTTATGTCTACAGTCTACAATTAAGCTATAAAAGCATAAAAAGTCTACCCCTATAATGGGCTTAGTGACGTCAGCTACCACAAAACGCCAAGGATATGTACGGCGTAGACCCAGATCCAGGTTGAAGTGTGCGTAGCCGTAGGTGGAGATGGTAGTCCCGTTGGCTGCGGTGAGATGGTAGCTCGTTGGTGCACGTCGCTCTCGAAGTTGACAGCGGGGGAAAACACAGAGGTCGCTGCCTGTGTCGACCAGAAACTGTGTCTTCGTGGTGCGGTCAGTGATGAAGAGGCGACCAGGAGAGGTGAGGCAATCGTCAGTCGCCATTACCGACTGCCTGCGGCGTTTCCCGACTTGTAGTCGCATGGTTTCTGGCATTTCTTAGCTTTCGAGCCGAACTTTGCGTGGTACCAACAAATGGGGTAGCGCCGGTAACTAGACGCCGATCTTGACGATGAGTGAGAAGATGTTCGTCGCTGTTGAGGTCTGGATCGGTTGAAGTTGCGCGAAGATCGTGAATGCTCATCGAGTTTCATGGCGAGGTGCTCCACCATTTTCCGAAGCTCGCTAATTTCACCAGAAATGCTGTGGCCAGGTGGTATGCCGGAGGACGAAGTAGCTGCAACTTGCCCAGGTGCTGTTATTTCCTGGATGCGATCCGCTAAGTCTGCTAGCTGCTCCAGAGAATGCGTAGGTTGAGACGCTATTACAGTCTGGATGTTCTGTGGAAGACGGCTGATCCAGATCGATCGTATGAACTCCTTCGGGACGTTAGGGCCCGCTAGGTCTTGCAGGTGTCGTAAAAACTGTGAAGCCTTGCGGTCTCCAATCTCCTCGTGAGTCAGCAACTGCCTGACCTTCTTCTCTTGGGAGGCAGTAAGGCGCTTGATCAGCGCGCTCTTGATTTTCTCGTAGCGGTTTCGAGATGGTGGGCTCACGATGATGTCCTTTACAGCCTTCGCATGGGTTATGTCTAGATTGGTGACGACGTTGTTAAATTTTATTGCGTCTTCTGTTATGCCATAACTTCCGAATTGGCCCTCCAAAAGCGCGAACCATAGTTCGGGATCATCTGGCGAAAATGCCGGAACCTTCAGGGTGTATGGCTTTAAATCGGATGACTCGTGACGTGTGCCCATGGAAACGCGCTTTTTCTTTTGGTGGCGGGTAGTGACGTTTTCCTTATGCGACTCAACGGTTTTGGCGGAATCACTGCTATCACTCATTATGATGTTCAACAGGGGTCACCAGTAAAGCGTTGTTGGGTGAAGATAGATAATGTTCGCTTAGTACTTATCTGCGGTGCAGTCGGGAGGCGGTGTAAACAATAATCCAGCACTTCACAGTTAATAGTTTATTGCACAAGCACAGAGGAAAGTATATATAATAGAAGGAGTACAGAGCACAGTCAGTGATAAACAAGCACAAAAGTATAAAGGAAAAGCACAGACAAAGCAACATAAACAATAATACAGTTGACTACAACTACGAGTGTCGGGGCTATAAAGCGAGGAGCAATTGATCGTGCGTACGGTACAGAGTATAGGTTCCGACTCTCGTGCAACGTGACCTATGCGCGTGAGCCGGCCGGTTTGCCGAACAATAGGCGGCGAAGTGAGTGCGCGTGTCCATTCGCCACACGACTGTTATAGATCGGCTGATGCACGGCACGATATAGTGTAATTGTTTTGAAATAAATGTTTGTGCTTGTGATGACAGTATATGAATATAATTAATAAATATTGTTATATATTAAATGTAAATAATAAATGTTATTTTGTATAAATGTAAATATATTTGGTTTTAATAATTAATGTTTTATATTTATTTGTAGTTATAAATTGTAAATACATATTATATAATATTTTATATATTTCAAAATATTTATATAACATCTATAGATAAGATTGTGGGAGAACCCCACATTTTCTTTAGATTTAAACATCAAGCAGTTACATGCTTAAAAAATTAAAATTATAATTTTAATTGCTATTTCTTCTTTCAAATGTTTAATACTTGTAAAAGTATTCATTTGACATTGTGGGTTACCTACAATGCGAAGAAATGGCTTAAGAATGGCTAGAGGAATTTCGACGCGGTGACGTTAAAAGGATAGCAAAAGCACATGTCTCCGTATATAGCTTACTTTTTTTACTTTGACATAGGCATGGGAGGCAAACGAATCAGCGTGTCTCGAGTCCACGCATTACTGTCCCGCGAGCTGGCAGCTCTGAACGCTACCGCGCCACAACGGAATCTGGTCGCACAAGAAATACAAAAGGTAAAGCTAGAGCCATTGTATAATAGGCTATTTGACAGAAGGTAAAGCTACAGACCATTGTATAATAGGCTATTTGACAGAAGGTAAAGCTAGAGACCATTGTATAATAGGCTATTTGACAGTATGAAAACTAGTGTGCCCCGCGGCAAACATAGTAGGCGAGGAGCCACCAATCCTGAAAGCTCTAATTTTTTTAATGAAAAATAAAAGTTAACGTTTAGACGAACAAGATTTGCTTGGTCGGCGTGGATTTGATTGGTCGGAAATATTTTTATTAAATTATTTATTATCACTAATTATTATCACTCACACAATAAAATTTGGTATGCGCTATACTTTCGGCAGTTTGTAGGCACGCATACCAAGATAATTATAAATGTGACTTTAAAACGCGTGAATTAAAAAGAAAAAAAAAGGTTTCCGTGATAATGGATAAATTTTACCCCTTATCACACCATTCAAATAGGTATGCGTGACCTTTCCGGCTAAAAATCATTGGTCGGCCGGATTTTTTCTTGTTGAACATAATATATCACACAAAATTCTATATAAGATTGATCAATATCCGTGAAGACGGAAAAAAAATATGGAAATTTAATAATAAATAATTTAATTAAAATATTTCCGGCCAATCAAATCCACGCCGACCAAGCAAATCTTGTTCGTCTAAACGTTAACTTTAATTTTTTATCAAAAATATTAGAATCCGTGATCACGGAGCTTTCAGGATTGGTGGCTCCCGGACTTATGCCTATGTGTTAATCCAGGGTGTCGGATAACTCCATACCAAATTTTATTAAAATCGCTCCAGCCGTTTAGACCTGAAGAAGTAACAAACATACACACTCACAAACTTTTGCCTTTATAATATTAGGATGATAAAATTATTTATTTCTTTTTTAGGTTTTAGATTACGTTACTGAAGTAAACAGACAGCGAAACCTAGCGGCGACACTTACACACTACTACGACTCCTGGCGGCAATTGACCGAAATATTATTCTGTGTCGCACCACCAGATATTCTTAATCTCGAATCCAGGAAAAACCTTCTTCTCAATATTTTACAAGACCTATTAAACAAGATACCACCAGCTGAAGTACTCCCGCAGTTAGGGAACCTCGCCTCCGGCACAGTATTGTTACTTCTAGTCAACCTACGACATTGTTACATAATGCAGAAAAGGGAGACCAACTTAGACGCGTCCGAGTTCGAAGCGTCATTCTTTGGTCCTTCGAGTCAAATCATGCAAACGAAGTCGTTGACACTTAAGTTTATACTGCACAAGATATTGAGCTGGATCCTAGTCTCTGGAGCGTCCACACAGAAGATGCGAGTGAATCTCTACGGGGCGTTATTGAACTATCTAAATATTGTCAATTTGAAAACCAGCGCTGCGGACCCGGAGGAAGATGCGAATTCGACTTACGTCAGTAGATTGGATAGTTCGAAAGCGAGGCCCACTAAAGAAGAATCGGCTTTGAAGTCAATGGTGATAGATGTGATCAGTGGTTTCGGCGAGAACTTGTGTTCGATTGTGTGTAGTGATTGTATTGGGGGCGGGCACGACGTTTGCCGCATGGTGGCGCTGGCGTGCTTGGATTCCCTTCTAGAGATACATCCGCGAACTGATTGGATAAACACGCTCACGAATCAAGGCTATCTGAGAAGTCTCATCGACAGTCTAATGCAAGACGACGAGGGATTGAAAGAGGTAATAACACATATTATTATTTCTTAGGTTATGAGACATAGGCGCGAAAATAAGTCTGCAGTGTGGGAACATGCATTAGGGCAGGGTAGGCGAACCTTTATGAATCAACGTGCCATTTTTTCTAAAAAATCTTTAATTGGGTCATTGGCATGCCATCAAATAATTTTGACTTTATGATTATTTAGAAGATAATAATATAAATACTATCAGAAATCTTTATGAAATAAAGTAAACCAAAGAGACACATTCTGGAATGTTTTTATTACACGCATAAATTAGATTACTGTAAAATTAGTGTGACTTCTGTTGCTGCAGGTTTGATAACAAATAATTTATGTTAGGGTTGTAAGATGCTCGGGGGCGGGCTCGGAGTTGTGGCGCACGCAGGTGCGTCGGCCCCGAGACGCCCCCAAATGGGCGTAGGAGGGTACCGGGGGGTTTAAGTGGAGTAGGATCAGTGTGGCCTTCCGCACTGGTCCTGCTTGAGTAGGGTCGGCACTGTTTCCCGTGCCGGCGAGTCCCACACACGCCGTGCGCCTAGTCAGCGTCACGGTATGGTGCGTAACTGCATTTCCCCTCGTCACAAAAAAAAAAAAAAAAAAAAAAAAAAAGGGTTGTAAGATGCTACTTTTAGCAAAATGTATGCTGAACTGGATTCATCTGTCAAACGGTTTCTAAACGAGTTTTTAATGTTATTCATCTCTGAAAACAATGACTCGCAGGCATAGGTAGATGAAAACATTGTTAAAATAGCATGTGCTAACTTCTTCAAACAGTTACTTCGTAGCGTAGAATCACTCGCGTTCGATCGTCATAAAATACCTACTTAAATCATTTTTTACACATGTTTTATGATTGGCGACGTGCCCAAAATATTGTGTCGCGTGCCATCAGTGGCACGCGTGCCATTGGTTCGCCTACCCTGCATTAGGGGGACCAAACCATTACATTAGGTTTGATAAACCTTAGATCCTTGCAACTGAACAACGATTCATTCCTAGAATGATACGCGAGGCTATTGAGATTAAAAAATATCCTAATTTCAATAGGGAAGATGGTTGGTATAGACCACCAGCTTGGGAACCCATTATACAACAGTTAAAATCACACCGAGCACACACTGCAAGACCAACAGATACTAATAGTTCTTTTTGTTTGCATGATTTAACATAAGAAGGAGATAGAAAGCCCCTTTTGAGTTTGTTTCACCGGTTCTTCTCAGAAAGGTCTCCCAATTTTGGAACCGGTGGTAGTTTACAGTAGTTAGGGTCAAATAAATAACTCAAAATTACAAACAAGAATTTTAAATAAAATACTTTATTAAGTAAATTAAATAATAAATTCATACATAGACAATAAAATTTTAAAAATCTTCCAATGAAATAACCGCACGCTCAATATAAGTCTTTCGAAGGTAGCTCAACAATTTTAAATAAAAAATCATTATTCTGACGATGCAGACCTGAAAAGGCTGCGAAACGTCAATAAATAAATAAAGTTTCGTGCATTAACCCGTAAAAACTAGTTTTATTTAATGAGTGATGTGCGTGAAAACCTAAGAAACAAATAAAGAGTTGATAGTTTTGGTTGCACAAAGTGGCAACATGTCACAGATAAAGACTCTTTCTCACTGCACAACACAATTAAGTTAGTGAAACTTAAATTACCAATAACTTAAAAGCTATCCTATTTAAACTACTACTTTCTTTGTATGATATGTTTAACAAGAGCTATAGAAGTATTAATCAAAGTTGATGTATATCCTCAAGAACACGGTGTTTAAAGTTTCGAAAGTTGTAATTCTGGGGCCCAAGCACGAGCTTTTGACAGCTGCGGAACATATCACATTGTCAAAGTGTCTATGAAAACTAAGCAGTACCCTTAGCACAAACCATTATCGAATTCGAATAGTTTGCAAATCGAAATGTCAATGTCAAATTTTGTATGGAAACTTGAACAGCAGCGGCACCAAGTACGTAACGAGAACTAAATATCAATACACATTTGACAATGACATTTCGGACTCGCCAACGATACGAATTCGATGTTGGTTCGTGCTAGTGCAGTGCTGTATCCAGCACTCGTGTCGGACGTAAGAACAAACTAGCTTTTTCGATACAATGTTTGCCGATACCGATACTTTTCGGAGCTGTCAAAAACTGTTGCTTCTCGGGCCTCTGATTATTTAGTGCGAGTTTTGAAAATATTTCATAGCATTCTTTGTGAATCTTTAACTAGGCAGCTGCTTAAAAAAACAGTGTATAAAAACTTTATTAAATAATGTTATATCTCAATAGGGATGATGACTATTTTTTTTCTCCGTTTATCAGGTAGATTATCAAAAAGTATTGGACACGTATTTTTTTCTTTTTTCACATAATATAAACATTGCAGAGATAAGCAAAGGTCAGAAGTTAATGCCAAAAACTTTGTCCAAACCAAAATATAGTCTCTTACATAAACAAACTATATTTTTTGGTTTATAAAACAAAAAAAAAACAGTTTGTCAAATATATGACGTATGTGTTTAATGTCAAGTGGAATTATATAACATATTATTCACCTTTATCCCAAATTCGACAGGCGTTAGAACCAAATCCGAAGTCGCTTCGTGTACTATACGTGTATGAGTCAAAAATGGCGTTGCTCATGAAGTTAGCCGGGAATCGCGCCGGAGCGGAAACATTACTGTCACAGGGGGCGCTATCTTCACTCGCCAACATGCGCGTGTTTTCCTGCCATCCGGATATTCACGCTGCCAACGACCACGGACAAGATACGCAGTTCCTACCACCAGTCACCGATAGGTTAGTTATATCATTGCTTAAGACCGAGATATGTTTTAATATGAGTCAATTATATTAACGAAAATTAAGTAATTACGAAAATATTCTTTAAAACCTTTTTTTTTATTGTTTTAAATATTTTGTTTATAATCACGTGTGCAATTGGACTTGCCCGACAGCAGAATAATATTATCCAATCATGGTGTAGATGCTATTTGAAAACAGTACCTATTTTGAGTGGACGATTGTGTGGCAAAAGTTAGAGACAATTTATTATAAATATATATTTATCCGACTACAAGCAGCGTGTAGCACCGAGGGTATTGTGTTTCACAGTCTATATGTATGTAACAAAGAGCTCGATGGCGCAAGTGGTAAGCGCGTTCGGCTGCGATCGTTGAAGCTAAGCAACTTTCGCAGTGGTCGGTCATTGGATGGGTGACCAAAAATTTACTATCTCGAGCTCCTCCGTGCTTCGGAAGGCACGTTAAGCAATTGGTACCGGCTGCATCTGCGGTGGGTCGCGTGGTGGGTCATGGCCCAATCTGCCTATTCCATCCATGAGGAAGGCCTGTGCCCCAGCAGCAGATGTGTATGTTTGTTCGATTGTGGCACACTAGGGACCAAACGCATCGATCTATTTAATGATTCATACGTCATTTCACCCCTTTTTTACAAACTGCATTTTACGTATCCAATACTTGTTTCAGGTTCCGTCAGATCCTAGTCCCAGCGTTGGCGCTGTGCGATGCGCTACTAACCGCGTTAGGAACAGGCAACCACAGTTGTGTGCTACATGTGACTCATTTGCTGCTCAGCCATGCCGATGTGTTGGATATGGTGCTTAGGTAAGAAAATATTATATACTAGCGGCCCGCCCTCGCTTCGCTTCCGTGTGGAGCTGAAGTGTAGCCTACAGTTTTAGTTTACAGTTTAGTTGTCAGGCTTGTATTATACACAATGACATTCATCTATGATTCTTCTTATACCTACATGCAAAGTCTCAGCCCGATCGGTTTAAAGTTTCATACAAACTTTCATTCCCTATTTTATCCCCTTGGGGGTAGAATTGATCAAAATCCTTTCTTAGCGGATGCCTACGTCATAACATCTACCTGCATGCCAAATTTCAGCCCGATCCGTCCAGTGGTTTGGGCTGTGCGTTGATAGATCACTATGTCAGTCAGTCAGTCACCTTTGAGTTTTATATAATACTAGCTGACCCAGCGAACTTCGTACCGCCATAAAAAAATTTAATTAAAAAAACATTGTCCAGCGGACAAAATTGTGAATCTAAACCATTCCCTTGAACACACACAAAAAATTTCACCAAAATCGGTCCAGTCGTTTAAGAGAAGTTCAGTGACATACACACTCACAGAAGAATTATATATATAAAGATAGATTGCACCCTAACCGACATTTGAGATTTTCTAAATTATAGATAAAAGATCTTCATGAGACAACTAGAATGTAAATAGATTTTTTGTACTTTATAACGTGAAGCGTGAAATTTAATAATGAACAAGACGCAAATTCTAACCTTAGTTTAGTAATTAGTAATATATTGTAGTATATTAGTAATTAGTTATATATTGGTTCAACAATCATAACCTGCAAATAAAACTTGAAACTTCATAGCTCGGGAACGCATATAAATGCAATAAAAAAATATAATAAACTTCCCAAACGCATCCAAGCCGAAACAAAGCTAAACATTTTCATAAAGCGATTGGATTGGAGTATTTGTTGGAAAATAGTTTTTAAAGTGTGCGGCAATTCTTTGAGTGTGCTTTATATTGACATACCAAATAATTTATTTATTAGAAAATATTACAATGACATATGTACTTAAGTTTTGTAAATTATAAAATTGATATTTAAGGTTAAGTTAAGATTATTATTATTAAATGTATGTTAAATGATGACATTAAATGAATTATGTAATTTAAAAAAAGAGAATACATCGAATAAGAAACTTATAGTCTGTCCATTCTATTATTATCTTTTAAACAGATCGATCGAAGTAAAAATAGTGACATCCTATCACATAACTCGTTTGATTTAAAGCTTTAATCGATTTTATGCTAGAACATTGTTTAATCGATTATAAGTATCGAAATTATTTGTTATCAAATATACTGGTGTTTAATAAATTATTACAAAATCTCATTACATTTATTATTTTACCAAGTACAAATATTTGTGTTATGAGCACGAATATTTGCTCTGTGTCTGGATGTGATTTATCTATAATATGTTTGTTTATCCTAATACTAATACTCTGTACAATTAGATTTATTGATTATAATTAATAATTTCATTTAAAAAAATAACTATATCTTTGACATTTTTCCTTACAATTTGGTTGTACTCATTTATTTCTACCGATTATTTGTAATCTGTGGCACAATCTTAGTAATCATTATGTGTGGCACATCACTAAGTGGGCGGTACCCGTCCATGAATTACAATATTATTTGTATGATATTTTAACGTAAACACTACAACATTTCATGGGCATCGATCTATCAAAAAGATAATAATAGAATGGACAGACTATAGTGAATAAGGTCATTTATTTTGTTTTTTTAGCCTTTTTAGATTTTTTCATATTGATTAGTTAGAAATTGGCAGTACTAAAATAATTGTTATTTGCTGTGCCCGACAGGGTCCATATTCTGATCTGTAAATATTTTGAGCACCTGTTGTAATATATGATTGGAATAAATGACTTATGAGTTTAAAAACCCCAAAACAAATCTGAGACTCTAGATTTGAATGTAATACAAAAATTGGTAGTAGTTATTCAAAATAGTAAAATAAATTTTCCTATTTCTGGAAATTTACAGTTGACTATAAATATTAACTGTCTGATACACAAACTTCAACAAAATTATCAGTATTAACCTACTCGTTTTATCAATGTCATAATTCTTAAATGATGACAATAGATCCTAAACAATTTGTATAGGTGACCCAAGATATTCATTCGTTTCTTGACTATAAAATTGAAATTAACGCTATAGTTGTAACGAAACAGGGCGGCCCACCCGAACTCTCCGCAAGAGCTGCTCATCGAGACGGAAGCATTAACATCGGTGATAGCGCGCGCGTCCGACGCCTCGGTGTTCGGCGCCGTGAGCGCTGACACAGCGCTGCAGCACAGCGGCGCAGCGCTGCAGCGGCTGCATGCACTCATGTTGGCGCTGCTGCCGCGGTTTGCTGCCCCGCCACACGCTGCTGCGCCCGACCACGCGGATACCGACCACGCGCTCTACTACAAGGTGACACTAGCGCGCTCACGATGTGATAGCGCGCGCGTCCGACGCCTCGAGCGCTGACACAGCGCTTTAGCACAGCGGCGCAGCGCTGCAGCGGCTGCATGCACTCATGTTGGCGCTGCTGCCGCGGTTTGCTGCCCCGCCACACGCTGCTGCGCCCGACCACGCGGATACCGACCACGCGCTCTACTACAAGGTGACACTAGCGCGCTCACGATGTGATAGCGCGCGCGTCCGACGCCTCGAGCGCTGACACAGCGCTTTAGCACAGCGGCGCAGCGCTGCAGCGGCTGCATGCACTCATGTTGGCGCTGCTGCCGCGGTTTGCTGCCCCGCCACACGCTGCTGCGCCCGACCACGCGGATACCGACCACGCGCTCTACTACAAGGTGACACTAGCGCGCTCACGATGTGATAGCGCGCGCGTCCGACGCCTCGAGCGCTGACACAGCGCTTTAGCACAGCGGCGCAGCGCTGCAGCGGCTGCATGCACTCATGTTGGCGCTGCTGCCGCGGTTTGCTGCCCCGCCACACGCTGCTGCGCCCGACCACGCGGATACCGACCACGCGCTCTACTACAAGGTGACACTAGCGCGCTCACGATGTGATAGCGCGCGCGTCCGATGCCTCGGTGTTCGGCGCCGTGAGCGCTGACACAGCGCTGCTGCGGCTGTAGATATCTTACATTAAAACAAAAAGGGTAGAAATGGTACGCTCCTACTTGCATCAAACAAAAACTGATCCCACGGCAGCGCGAACGGGACGGCGAGATCCGCGTCACGGCATTACCGACCCGAACGAAACAACACGTTAAGTTTCAACGGCAGCGTAAACGAGACGGCGAGATCCGCGTCAATGCACTACCGACCAATCACGCGACCAGTACTCGATGTTACTACCGAATAAGATTCAAAACAAACAGCAATATTTATGAAAAAATATATTTTATAGTACTTACGAATGAAAAGTGATGCCGTGGGTTTTATTTTTAGTTCTTGAGCAATTTGAGCACTTTTTAAAAACACACTTAGGCATTGTTTTCTCATATAAACACAAAATATTGGCAATATTTCTTTTTGGCGTTCACATGTACGTCGTTTGCATGTCAAGTTGTGACTAAAGCGATTAGGGTCGTGGACCCCAATTTAGGCGGATCACTTTTGTGAGGCTAGTGTCGTATCTGCCTTTTTTGTTTTAATCTAAGGTAGATATCGACCACGCGCTCTACTACAAGGTGACACTAGCGCGCTCACTAGGCCCGTAGTAGCGGAACCCAGGGCAGGGCAGTCCTTCCGCAGCGTAGTGGGATATAGGCCGCGTACTTAGCTTCTAGCGCGGGCAGTCCTGCGCACGTCTGCGGGGTCCCCCGAATAACCCCGGGTGATCCCTGCTGTGAAGCCCCGGCTAGACGCTAGTCTAGTCAGCCTTCTAAGGCCGTTGGGTTGGCGGTGAAGTCCCTCAACGGGGATCTCGCGGTTCCCCACATAACAGCGTAGAGGGTATTCGCACGGTTTTTTAGCGGATAGTATGCCGTAAACGCTCGTAAGCCGCGCGGACTGCTTAACGGCTTTTCCGTTTCGCGACCCTGAAACTTGCGAGAGGCTAGGTGTGAGGTCCGTTCGTTGGTGTGCCCCTTAAGGGCGCCAACGTCTGTAAATAGAGACTTTGCCTGCGTAATGAAAGGGGAATCCAAGGATTTCTGGATTATTCGAGAGCGGCAGAATAACATAAAGGGGTAACCTTGCACCATGTGACATTGCCAGGGTTGGAGTGGGAAATATTACTAAAATTTTACTAAAACAAGTGTTTCTTACTTTCGCCTGAATAGACTGTATGCAACCCTTTTACCTTCGCTCGCAACATTATGGAGCGCGACGACACGCGCGCCCTATTCTGACTTTCGTTAAACGGGGTCTTTGCTAGGATTAGGGTGACAGAAGGAGCTCGATGGCGCAAGTGGTTAGCGCATTCGGCTGCGATCGTTGAACTTAAGCAACTTTCGCAGTGGTCGGTCATTGGATGGGTGACCAAAAATTACTACCTCGAGCTCCTCCGTGCTTCGGAAGGCACATTAAGCCGTTGGTCGCGGCTGCAGATGCAGATGCAGTCGTTAGCACCCACCAATCCGCACTGGGCCCGCGTGGTGGGTCATGGCCCAATCTCCCTATTCCATCCATAGGGAAGGCCTGTTCCCCAGCATTGGGGACATTAAAAGGCTGTTGATGATAGGATGACAGAAAACAAAAACATTATTCAAACAAGTCTTTCTTTCGTCTCATCATGGAGGTTAGCTAAGTTGTTTCAATAAATGCGGGCTAATTTGAAATGACCAGTGCCGCGAAGAAGATTTGTACATTATTCAACTAACTTCATCTTCTTGTACTCATAAACAGCTCACTTCGCAGATACTACTTAACGACTGCAGCGCGGCAGGTGGCTGAAAAATTAACTATAAATTATACAAATTTTTAGGGACAGGCGGGCTAATGCTTTGGTACGTGCCGTCGTGCTATTCTGACCTTCGTTTTTTTTTTGGTTAAGTTCTCCCTTTTCAGGGAAGGCAAGGGGAACAATGCCCATACAGCCTAGTCTTAAGTTAAATTATTCTGTTTTCCTTTTTACATTAGAATGTCGGTGTGACGCATTCTAATGTTTCTTGAAGTGTTTGGCACGAAATGTATCGAGCTGGCTTTTTCGATAAGCTTCTGTGAGGTAGACAATACTACAATAAAATTCTCACGTCCACTTGACCGGATTAGCGTATATTTTGACGATTCTACTAATTCTTCAGTTACGCAGACAGTTGTAACACAAAATCACACCAATTTTATTTCACAATATCCACTATGAACGAATTTAAGAATAATTAAAATAAGACGCCAAACACACTCGATGAAATCCCGCCAAAAACTCTGACCTTCGTTTAACGGGGTCTTTGCCAGGATTAGGATGACAAAGATAACAAAAAAAAAATGGGTGCGTGTACTTATGTAGGCGCGTGAGAAGTTATCCTTCTTTGGCATCGTTTAAAATTAGTTTTTAATTGCATGCAAATAATTAATTACAATATATTAATAAAAAGTCTGGAAAAGGACACAGTCAATAAAGTTCAGTTTTAATTTGAAAAAATAAATAAATAATCAAAATATTCAATTAAAATCGCTACTGAATATAATTTATTAGAACATATGTGATTTGCACTTGTATGAAACTCAAACACGTATTCCGAATATACAAACTAGAAACATGTGGATAAATATTATAAATATGAATACATATAACTGTTACTTTATTACAAAAAATAAAGATGTGGTTTTTGGTCCTACTACACCAATGGTCAAGAGATGGCGCTGTAGTCTCCTGAATCGCGCTTTGGTTCCGTTGTTCCAGATTAATAAATACTTTTGGTAGGCCTTCACAATGCAGTCGTTAGCACCCACAAAATAGAGATTCTATTTCTATTTTGTTGGTAGATTTTCTTAATGTGCGGTAAACACAAAAGTAACAGCATGAAGTTGGTCGCTAAAGCGACAAACTTCATGCTGTTAATTTTTTGTGTTACAGTGATGCGCGCGCATCTTAAAATTTCACTCTTATCATTTTTTCATAACGCGCCTAAAGAAGTATAACTTCAAAAAATTCAAACAAGTCTTTCTTTCTTCCGTCTGTTTAGATCGTATGCAATCTCCTCACGTTCGCTCGCAACATGGTCGAGCACGACGGCACGCGCGCTCTATTCCGACCCTCGTTGAACGGGGCCGGCGCCAGGGTCGGAGCCGGGGCAGGGGCCGGCGCAGGGGCGGGCGAAGGGGGCCCGCATGTGGGGTCCCTGCTGCAGCTGCTGCAGAACACGCTGCAGCGCACCCAGCACCTGGACAAGTTGTTGGCCACGCAGCAGCATCAGTTGCACGGCGTGCCTTCTATGACGCTTTCTGGTAAGTAGAAGAGCAGCGGTCCAAGCATTATATATTGGAGTTTACTCCTTAAGAATCGATTTGCATATATAAGGGGCCCGGTATGAGAAAAATGTGAGCAGTAAAATCTATCGATGTATGACATTAATGACCTCGTTACATTTTTGTGCGCAACCTCATCTTTCACTTTTAGCCATGGCAACGGATAAAAAACATTAAGTTGTCACAAATGTCAATAAAATAAATAAACTAAAAATAGATAAAATCGGAGCAAAATTAATGAAAACAAATAAATAACAGAATATAGAGAAATGCCGGTAAGTGTCCAGCACTCTGGAATAGTGATTTTCAGTACAGATGGAATTATAATACACATTTACAAAATGATGACTAGTGTGTGATATTTGTGGAATTGTGTGTTTCCAGAAATACATAATAAAATATATGATGAATATCGCTGATGTTAGATGATAAAATGTGTGACATGGAACCTATGATAGTCGAAACCATGGGACGATTCCTGAGGTATCTTTACTTGTAACCGTTTTTAGAGTGTAAACTTCGGTTGTGCGTCGGAGCTGAGCTGACACACACAATTTTGTTTTTTTCTATTTTTGTAATATAGTATCCATGTGTGGTTATGAGTAGTCATGCTCTCTTAAAAATCTCTTCGGTGGTGTCGTGTGAGGCGGGTCGTTGCGTTCCCTAAAAAATGGTTGAGCGAAGCGATGGCTGGTTCATGCGTCATGCTCGTGAACGGGTGCTGCCAGCGGAGATGAGTCTGCTCTTTCTTCATTGGGTACTATTAATCGTTGTACTGAACTTATAATCGTTCATATTTTTTTTGCCTAAACAGGCAAAAACACGGCGTTCCTAAACTTTGTTAAACCAGTTTTTTATGTAGTCATAATTTTTATATTATTGGCATTTGTAATGGAAAGTAACTTTATGAGCTACCTCATATTGAAGTCATTTTCAATTTGACGACTCTGTATATAATACAGGGAGAAAAAAACAGCCCTTGCTGAGTTTCTTGCCGGTTCTTCTCAGTACAAGATCTCCCGCCGTAGATTTGCGAAGCGATGGCGTAGCTTTTCGACATTCACAAGTGCTTGTAACAGCCTAGACTGAATAAACGATATTGAATTTTGAATTAATTTTGACATAGGAAGGGTAGGCCTCACAGAATGAAGCTCGCGGAGGTGGGGTCGTGCTTCTATGGGGAGGGAGAAGAGGACGCTTGCCACTATTTGTGGGAGTGTAAGCTCTACGGGGAGGCGGGTAGGGAACTTCTTGACAGTGTGAAAGTGCTCGAGGTTGGGACGGTCTACTATCGCGACCTTGTGGGATCGGAGGCGAACTTCAGGCAGCTGCGGGACCTCGCGCGTAGATGGCACAGGATTCGGAGTGGACTCGAGGGAGGCGAAGAAAGAAGACAGGGAGCAATAGTAGAGGAATAGGAAATGGAGGCTAACTGTACCACTTTATAGTGGGCACGGGACAGCTGCGATGGCGATGAAGGCGTTTCGTGTGCGTTCACCCCAGAAAGAGGCGCGTAGGGAACTTCTTGACAGTGTGAAGGTGCTCGAGGTGGGGCCGGTCTACTATCGCGACCTTGTGGGATCGGAGGCGAACTTCAGGCAGCTGCGGAAATTCGTGCGTAGATGGCACAGGATTCGGAGTGGATTCGAGGGAGGCGAAGAAAGAAGACAGGAAGCAATAGTAGATGAATAGGAAATGGAGGCTAACTGTACCACTTTATAGTGGGCACGGGACGGCTGGGATAGCGACGAAGGCGTTTCGTGTGCGTCCGCTTTTTTTTTTTTTGTGACGAGGGGAAATGCGGTTACGCACCATACCGTGTCGCTGACTAGACGCACGGCGTGTGTGGGACTCGCCGGCACGAGAAACAGTGCCGACCCTACTCAAGCAGGACCAGTGCGGAAGGCCACACTGATCCTACTCCACTAAAACCCCCCGGTACCCTCCTACGCCCATATGGGGGCTTCTCAGGATCGACGAACCTAAGTGTGCGCCACTTCACTGGGACGTCCCCTCGTGTGCGTCCGCCCTAGAAAGAGGAGAAGGACCATAGAGACAAAGGAGACAGATAAACAACAATTTGTAGGGAGTCAAGAAAGTACGCGCGGTGGAGGCCATTCTGCGCGTTTACCCTCTGCTTCGGCCTGCATAACCAAGAAGGTTCGCCAGGCCATGGGTGGTTGGTGGGATTTGTCTTTTCATCTCCGTAATAGTATAGAATCGTCGTTTTCAATGAAAACTAAGCAGCTAAGTATGAGGCGTGAGAATAAAATGGTTTTTTCTATACAAAATTTGACGAAGACGATACGATTACAAAGCTGTCAAACTTTGTACTTGGGTCTCTGAGAGTTTGTCACTTGTTAGTTGTATTAGTGTAGCATAAATGAAGATAAATACTGTTTACTAGAAAACATATCCTAAGTTTTTTTTTCACCAAAAAGCTTTAATTGCTATTTTCTTTTGTTTAATGCTTAAAAAGAAACTACAATTGGTATAATTATCTTGTAGTAGTATACAGGGTGGCCCAACTAGTGACGTCAACAATTCTTTTTAGATTCTTCTCACCTGGGGGTATCCGAAAATACCCCATATATGCTCCGCGATTTTTCTTAGTTTTCGAGTTATAATTTTTTTAGGGTATTTTTAATGATTTCTGCCAGCGAGGTTTAAAAAATTCATATCTGTCTTTTTCGTAGTAGGTAGATTGCAGTCTTTTTTTTTGTGACATAATTGTCTTGAATGTTGTTTTAATAAAAAATATAACTCAGAAGAAAGATATGAATTTTTGAAACCTCGCTGACAGAAATCATTAAATATACACACACAGGAATATGTAATTATATTTTAACATCTTTTAAACAAAATTTAATAAAATACCTTGCATATTACCTATTTTAGAACCTTTTTTTGCTGCGGGTTTTTAAATTATATTAATTAAAAAATGTTTGACATAAAATTTCAATATAATATTTATGTTGCGATCCGCAGAGATTTTATTATTATCTCGTACCTATGGTTTATTAAAGTGAATTGTCAGTCTCTTTAAATTGATGAAAATGTTTGTGGTGACAAAATAAACGACTTTATTACTAGAAATTCCACTCGTCTATAGATTTCGATAGCAGAGCGATCGCTTCATTTGCCCGGATAGCGAAGGACTCTGGTTCGATTCCATTCCCGATCAAGGCCAAGTTGACTTCTTCTGATATATTTTAAATAAAAGCACATTCATTTCCAGTAATTCAGTCGGAGTCTGATATTGAAGTATGAGGATTTTGGAGAGTGAATTAATTGTATGACTCGTGTTTTGAGAGAGCCAAAAGTAGTCTTACAAACTAATATATGAGGAGCTGGCGAACAAAACGGTATAATTATAAAAAAAACGGAAGCTGTATAAAACTGATTGACATACCCCCAGACAGCTTTTGGCATGGTTTTTAATTTATGATTTTAGTAATTTTAACACTATTTTAGGCGGTTTAATTGAAATTTATTTGAGATTCAAATTCAACCAGATGCGTTATTATACCGTTTGTTTGCCAGCTCCTCATATAATAACTCGATTTACTAATTAATATTTTACAAACTACAAGATCTTTGGGTAAAAATCTTAAATTTAAACTTTTTCTAACAGACATCAAAAAGTTGTTAGGCGATGACAGCGAACTGGTATCGCCTGCGGAAGGTCGCGCCCGAGCGATATGCTTGCTGAGGGGGCGCGTACAGTCGCGGCGTCGCGAGCTGGAGCGCGCGCGGTGCGCACTCGACGCAGCACTGTACCTCCTGTGGGCCAACTTACGCGTGCATCTGCGACTCACTGCGGTAGCCACGCCTTCTGCCAAGGACGACTCGCATGATAGTGAGTATATTATAATCATAGATGTGTGACCCGCACTGTACCTCCTGTGGGCCAACTTACGCGTGCATCTGCGACTCACTGCGGTAGCCACGCCTTCTGCCAAGGACGACTCGCATGATAGTGAGTATATTATAATCATAGATGTGTGACCCGCACTGTACCTCCTGTGGGCCAACTTACGCGTGCATCTGCGACTCACTGCGGTAGCCACGCCTTCTGCCAAGGACGACTCGCATGATAGTGAGTATATTATAATCATAGATGTGTGACCCGCACTGTACCTCCTGTGGGCCAACTTACGCGTGCATCTGCGACTCACTGCGGTAGCCACGCCTTCTGCCAAGGACGACTCGCATGATAGTGAGTATATTATAATCACAGATGTGTGACCCGCACTGTACCTCCTGTGGGCCAACTTACGCGTGCATCTGCGACTCACTGCGGTAGCCACGCCTTCTGCCAAGGACGACTCGCATGATAGTGAGTATATTATAATCACAGATGTGTGACCCGCACTGTACCTCCTGTGGGCCAACTTACGAGTGCATCTGCGACTCACTGCGGTAAGCACGCCTTCTGACAAGGACGACTCGCATGATAGTGAGTATATTATAATCATAGATGTTTGACCCGCACTGTACTTGCTGTGGGCGAACTTACGCGTGCATCTCAGCATAATCTATAATGGGCAAAATTACGGATTGAACCAAGAGAATTTTAGAAGATATTGGGAGAAAATTTTTTGAATTGATAGAATGACCGAAGTATACATATCACCTTACAGCTTATAGCGTCTACTTGTGCTATCCAATTGAGAGAATGGTCAATCTGTATACCCAGGTCTACAACTTCAGGAGAAAACTTTATTGGGGTTCCTTCAAAATAGAGAGACGCAACAGAGCGCATGTCCACCTTCGCCGGAAGACGAGAGCTGCCCAGGATAATGGCCTGGCATTTATTCGGAATGACTTTAATACCGAAATTGCGAGACCAGTCCGAAATTCGCTGAAGATCATCATTTATAGACCTAATGGCAACTTCTAGGTCATTCACCCCAATTTGAGCGTAAACTTGTAAGTCGTCCGCGTAGAGATGGTAAGAGTTGCGAAGAATGGAGGTAATGAGATTGATAAAGACTGAAAATAGCAGAGGAGAGAGAATACCGCCTTGTGGGACGCCAGCCGATAAATCGCATCAATCCGATAAATCACCGCGAGTTCGAACTGCTTGCTGACGTCCAAGAAGATAAGATGAAAACCAATCTAGCTCCGGAGACGAGATCGCAAGTGGGATAGTATATTATAATCATAGATGTGTGACCCGCACTGTACCTCCTGTGGGCCAACTTACGCGTGCATCTGTGACTCACTGCGGTAGCCACGCCTTCTGCCAAGGACGACTCGCATGATAGTGAGTATATTATAATTATATGCTGGCGATTGACAGGATTGCGTGTTAATAACATCGTCTAATAAATATTAATAAAACACACTATTTAATGTTGAATTTAATTTATAAATAATATTGTTAAAAAAAATGTTTTATCTATATTGTATTGAATATATTTATTATTTAATAAAATAAAGTAAAAAAAAAGTAGTATATCACCTTTATGTTGTGACCTATCCGATAGTATCAAACTATTGAGGCTAAGAACTCATGGCGCCATTTTTCCCGTGACCGCAGTCTTTGAATTCAGAACTTGGTCATCCGCATAAGAATTGCAGAGCACGCGGGCCCGCCGCGTGCGCAATTTGATATTCTACGTGAGTTGCGGTCCCTTAGTGGTGCGGGAGAATAGTGCGCCGCGAACCGTATTTTCTTAGCCTAAGCGTTTAAGCCAACTTTTGGGTTTATCTTATTAAGATTCTCGTGTCACAATGTTAGTTACCATAGTCCTCCGAAACGGCCTGACCGATTTTTATGAAATTTTATATGCATATTCCGTGGGTCTGAGAATCGGCTACTATCTATTTTTCTTCATATCCTTAAGTGATTATGGTTGTCCACCTGTAACGTAGTGTTCTTAAACCTACAATGCGCCTTCGCGTCAAAATTCAAACTATTAAGTACTATAACGTAGTGCTCTCATATGGGTTAGGAGGAATGTTATCTCAGGAAATTGATAGTTACATAACCCTAAATGTTTTTTTAGACTATATTTCTTTTTATAATGTGGTATTAAAAAATACATACAGCCCTAAATTTTCTCTTCTACCACCTGCCCCTATTTTTATGGCGGTACGAAGTTGGCTGGGTCAGCTAGTTATATTATAATAATGACGGAAAATGTAATATTCGCAGTGTCCCTAACGACGGGCGGCGCTTGGCGCGGCGCGGGAGGCGACGAGCTGCCGGAGCTGCGTAAAGGGCTCATTACCGCCCTCAGCGATCGCTTCACCGACGAGCTGCTCGACACCACCAAGGTAACTGCATCATCATCATCAGCCTATCAATGTCTCCAATAGAGTATTTGACAGTATTAAAAATGAAGTGCCAATTATTAGCAACTGTATTTAGAATGAATATTGGCAGGAGTTTTTACTATTTTTACAGAAAAAATATTCATAATTTTACTAAAACCCCACGATAGAGATAATAGTTTTCTTGTCTATTGTCACGTGACCCAAAACGCTTTGGATTGGTGGAGCCTTAAATGACGTCACGCGCAAGTAAACTTGCGGTTAAAATGACATTAGATTGTATGGTTTGACGTTTCAATGACAGTCGTGTGACGCCACACACAGTGAGAGGCCATATTGTCCAGAGATAAAATGGCGTCTCAAGAAAATAGAGATTTTGATTTAGTTTTTTTAGCGAAATACACAACATAATGATGAATATCCTATTTTTATGGACTCCATAAACATTAGTAAATAACGTGAGATCGTTTTCTTAAAGTTGTCAAATACCGTATTTAAATAAATAAATATTTCGAACACTCACACCAATTAGCCTAGCCCCAAAGTGAGCACTGTAAGGCTTGTGACATCTGCCCTCACCGGGATTCGAACCTGGGACCTCTCGAGTCGGCGACACCATGAAACCCAATCGGCCACGGAGGTCGTCAATTTTAGCGCAGTTCGTATTCCTTATTACTTCTGCATAGTTGAGTGGAGGTACTTTTGTGTCTTTGTAAACGTATTGATCACACCATCCCTTTCTCTCTATATAAAGAGTTGTTAATGTCATGTGCTACTCCGTTTCTGCCGCACCTGCGCTACGACATACCGCATTATGCGGCATAATGTTTGACGTTGAATATTTCAACTACAGCAACGCTTCGCAAAATCGAGCACTCTCAAAAGTAATGTTTTCGTGTTATGCGTGCAATCGTACCAACTCAGTTACAGAAAATTAACAAGTGTTTTTTCTTTAAGTTGGCATTGATCGTCGAAATGTTTTATTTATTTATTATCGTTAGTAATATTATTTATTTTTGAAATTTTTTTAAAGATTTTGTTTCATTGAAGTTTTTTTTTTCAATAATGAAAGTTAGTTAAAACTCTGTTAAAAAAATGGTTGCCTGTAAAGTCGGTTTTACGGGCGAAGATTTTACGTGACAACGTCTTTTTCTCGGTAGAATATTTATTGATATGAATATAATTAAATTGCACAATAGGAACAAGGAATTGAATGAAAATAAGAATTGCACAAATTTTAACTATAGAAATATATTTTGTTTACTAAAACATTGTACATGTAAACTTAAACTTAACACGAGAGACTCATCGTAACGTTACCGAGCGTTACACTTTTTCATAAGTGACTCCCAGCCGCAACCTAATTTAAGACGTTGTCACGTCAAAAATAAAATATAAGTATGGATGAAGGTACAAACATTGACTTTTCTTTCCAACACTGAACTTAGCGCACTCTGCTGGTGCATTTGTAAACTAATTCACGTTCCAATTAAGCATCAGCATAATTGGGCATTGTGCGCCACTGAGTCGCATTAAGCTCTGTAATTGGAAAACTACCATTAAATGCGCTAAAGTTAGCGTTCGATATTTGAAGTAGTTACTGTCATAATCATTTATCGGGCTTCATATCAATAGATGACAGCTTGACACGCTAAAAGAGGTTGTGGGAGACGATATATTTGTATGTGCAGCTGAAGGAGCGTACAGTACCCTTAGCACGAACCAATATCGAATTCGAATCGTTTGCGAGTCCGAAATGTCATTGTCAAAGTTCACGTTACGCACTTTGTGGCGCTACTGTACAAGTTTCCATACAAAATTTGACTTGACATTTCGGTTTGCAAACTATTCGAATTCGATAATGGTTCGTGGTAAGGGTACTGATTTCAAAGTACTAACGCAGATTCTAGCCCATTTTAGTACCAAAAACTTCGTCATCTAGGTGTGGGATAAGCATGAGTCTGTGTCTTGACCCAAACTTTTTGTTTTCAGAACCAGCCAGCGCCACAGCGTGGCTTCCTAGAAGTGCTCCTGAAAGACATCAAGATAATGGTCCAGTTCTCGCCGCTGTGACATGTGTTTCCGTCTGCCATTCAATCCTGTTGTTAATCATATGATCCATTTGTATTAAATAAGTATTTTTGTAAAGCTGTCAGTGGTGTTTTTACTCGTAATCCCCCTTTTGTAATAACTACTAATATCTAGTATCATTCGTTTATATACAGACAGGGTTAATTTTAAAATACCGATAAAGCACTCGCACAGCTAACATCATACACAATAACGTTTGTTCTACGAGTTTTGAAAAATCGTTACATTTTATTTTCATACGAACATAAATATTAAATAATTTTACAGCTGGGATGTTGTTAACTCTACAGACCCGTACGAATCGGGATTGAAGAGAGGGTGCGGGTAAGGCAGGGCGCCGCGCTAGCATCTTTGATTTGAATTTGATAGAAAGGCCTATTAGACTACGTAGCTAATTTTAAAGGACCCTGACTAAGGGTGGTGTAATAAGAGTAAGGGACCCGATCTAGGGCGATCAGTGCGTCCTGATCTCCCTTACGCCCTTGATTACATTACAGTATCAAAAACTATTTCAAAATCTTAAAAAATCGACTTGTGGAACAAGTAACAAATTATATATTCAGTGAATGACAGTTTGGTTACCAAAAAAATGTAGGTACAGGCGAGGCAGTAGAAAAGAAAGTCGTTGGAATATTCTTAGACCTCAGCTCATCATCAATCAATCAGCTCATCAGCAATCATGAAATACTCTTGATGAAATTGGAAGATTTTTCCCATTAGAGGAAATTGTTTAAGACTTTAAATCCTATTTAGAGAATAGACATCAATATTAAGAAAAACTAACATTGACGCAAAAACCAATTAATGTAAATCAAAATTGACAAAGATAAAAAGGCGTGCCTCAGGGATCAATATTGGGTCAATTTTTATAGTTTATCAACGACCTAGAAAATTACATCTGTGATAATAATAATAACATAAAAGCTACTCTGTTTGCGGTCGACACTAGTGCAGTTATTTTAACCAAAAATTGCAGTTTTAAGTTTTAAAACTAAACGAAATCTATCCACATTTTGTAATTGGTTTGATGCAAATGACCTTATTTCAAATGATGACAAAACCAATATAATGTTTTTAGTGCAACGCAGTTCGCCTAGAACATGCTAGGTGGACAAAATTATTTTATACTAGCTGTACGCTGCCACGCTTCGCAGTGGCACATTGTGATTGAATGCTTGAGAAATGAGAAACAAAACAAAGAATACATTTCATATAAGTTTAATTTTGCAATACTTGTGGATATACAATATTTTTTGTTTTTCCACTGTCTGCGTAGATATAAAGACTATCTGGCTTGCCGACTCGGGAACACGATTATTAAAAAAGATTCACATCAATAATAAATATGTTTTGTTATTTATTAATTATTAAACTAATATTTTACTTATTTATTTAATTAATTAATATTAAATAAATAATAATTACAAAAAAAAATATTTTTACTGTCCATCTTTGATATAAAATAACTAAACCTCTACTTACGATTTGGTGAAAGGCATTTTGATATTGAATTAAATAGAATTACTATCAAAAACTTTCATAAAACTAATCTACCATCATTGAACTACTGAAATATGTATATATTTTTATAATTAGTTCATTAATAATTATTTTATAAGACTCGAAACATCAACCGTAAAATGCAATATATACTAGTGCAAATCTACCTACGCGCCGATCATTGCGCAGCGGCGCAATTTTGTAAAAAGGCTCATAACTAAACTTAAATATAACAGAAACACATCATGTCCTGCTTTCATAGACCACTTCCTAGTTTGTTTGTAAGAATACGTTGTTGATTTAGAATCTATATAGTAAGCTAAGGCTTCGTCACTACTTAACTGCCTAGGTTTAACGGAACTGGTATTTTTGTACTTAATAAAAATTTCTGGGCTCCTACTAATGTCTCTAATCACATTGACGACCTCCGTGGCCGAGTGGTTTGTACGCCAGGTTTCATGGCTGTCGCCGACTCGAGAGGTCCCGGGTTCGAATCCCAGTGGGGGCAGATGTTTGTGTGATGAATACGAGCATTTGTACTCCAGTCATGGATGTTTAATATGTATTTATATAAATATACTTATATATGTACAGTATATGTATTCTATCCGTTACCCTAGCATCCCATAACACAAGCCTTATAGTGCTTACTTTGGGGCTAGGCTAATTGGTGTGAGTGTCGGAAATATTTATTATTATTATTATTATTACATTGTCAATTTTCCTTTGGCCTGTTGAACGCACAGCAATTTCGGCAGCAGTCACCAATTCACTAGCACTTCGAGATTCAAAAAGATCGACGACGCGACGTTTCTACATCTTGAACGACGATTCCTCGAAATCTTTGCGAGGTCTCCCTGCAGAAGTCACAGCTTTACTTGATGTAGAAGGTTATGGCGCAAAAGAACACACAGTAAACTGTATGTCTTCTTAATCCAGCCAATTCTTACTTTTAATAAGAAAATGCTCCTTCGGCTTTCTTGAAGCCAATCATTTGGCACCAATCTTATTAGAAAAGTCGGATATCTTCAACTTTATTTCTTTGTGGTTGCTTTCAATAATATCACTAAAGTGAAATTTTTAGGAATGATAGTCGTATAAACGCGAGTTTCTTTAATTTTTCGTGTTTCAACCACTCCTCGTAAAAAGCTACCCTTGAAATAGAGTAAACGTGTTCTGAAAAAAAAATGAAAAAAAAGATCATGTACTGAAGTGTGCTGAACAGTATGTGTATTTTTGCAAAGAATATAGTTATTCCTACGATATATCTAAAAACTAGCCAAAATTTAAATTTATTAAAAAAGATACTGAAAGTTCATATTAAAAGATTCATATTTAAATAATATCGGTATTAATATCTATCACAAATACTATCACAATTTTATTATAAGCCACTATAAGATGAGCACGAAAGAGTCGCTAAATTGCACCTGATTTAACGGAATCGTTGCATTTAACTCATTATAGCCAATTTTCGGAATTTGGGGTTTGGCGGTGTTGTTTAAGTTTTGTAATTAAGAATACCTGGAAATGATAACATGAATTTTATCCACCTAGCATGTTCTAGGCGAAACACTGTGCAACGGAGGAAAATTAAAGAAAAATGACATCACTTTAAACTACAAAAATATAAATCTAGTAAAGAAGCAAAGTTTTTAGGAATATATTGACTCATATCTCAACTTACTCATAACTCAAGAATTGGAGAAAATTGAGAAAATAAAATAGTATAGCCTTTTACTGGGACCGATTCTGGCGTTACATTCTCTAAACTTTAAATAAAATTAGAGAGCTTATTTAAATTTGGGTTTAGAGAATTGATAATCTGAAATGTGAACTAACTAAATAATGAACACAGTTGACAAGTTATAAAGAGCATCTAAATCATGGAGGTTAGAGTGAAGGAGAACGATCGCTATAGAAAATAGTCGACGACCTCCGTGGCCGAGTGGTTTGTACGCCGGGTTTCATGGTGTCACCGACTCGAGAGCTCCCGGGTTCGAATCCCGGTGGGGGCAGATGTTTGTTTGATGAATACGAGCATTTATACTCCAGTCATGGATCTTTAATATGTATTTTCTATAAAAATATACTTATATATGTACAGTATTATGTATTCTATCCGTTATCCTAGTATCCCATAACACAAGCCTTATATTGCTTACTTTGGGGCTAGGCTAATTGGTGTGAGTGTTGGAAATATTTATTTATTATTATTATTATAGAAAATAATGTCCAAAAAATAAAATAAAATAAGTGAGGCGCTGCGATCGCTAAGCTATTGTGCGCTAATTTGAAATTTGTACATTATTCAACTAACTTCATCTACTTGTACTCATAAACAGCTAACTATTTTTATAGCACAGCTAAATTTTTATTATTTAACTTCACAGATATTACTTACCAACGGCACCGCGACTGGTGGCTGAAAAATGAACTATAAATTCTACAAATTTTCAGGGACAGGCGGGCTAAAAAATCCTTTTTCTAACCTCCATTATCTAAATTGAATTCAAAGATTAGGTAAAAACATTGAACCGGTAATTATCGGTTAACTCAAAGTATCAACTAAACATAGTAATAATAGTAGTAATACTAGTAATACATTATGCACTAGTCGAGTCTAATTTGCGGTATAGTATTAGGTTATGGGGCAATAGGGATGATGACTATTTTTTTTTCTTCGTTTATCAGGTAGATTATTATCAAAAAGTATAGGACTCGTATTTTTTCTTTTTTTACATAATATAAACATTGACGTTGAGTCACGTTTTAGTAGAAAATTCACTAAAAGGTGACGTCACGAGCCCCTACTCCCAAACTTTAACGCGCTATAACTTTGTTATTTTTTGGTTGATTGTCCAAAGAAACAATACGTGTCCCTTATTTTTTGATAATGTAACTGACGGACTAAATAGAATTTCGTTTACTGTACCCCGTCATCACCCCTATTCCTATAAATTTAATATACAGAGAGCTTTTGTGTTACAAAAAAGAGCTACTAGAACTGTAGTCCATACTTAGCAAAAAAAAATCACGCAGAAAGGATCTGCCACAAACACAATGAACTATGCAAGTATTTGGTGAAGAAATAATATTAAAAAAAAATGGGTGCGAGTACTTATGTAGGCGCGTGAGAAGTTATCCTTCTTTGGCATCGTTTAAAATTAGTTTTTAATTGCATGCAAATAATTAATTACAATAAATTATTAAAAAGTCTGGAAAAGGACACAGTCAATAAAGTTCAGTTTTAATTTGAAAAAATAAATAAATAATCAAAATGTTCAATTAAAATCGCTACTGAATATAATTTATTAGAACATATGTGATTTGCACTTGTATGAAACTCAAACACGTATTCCGAATATACAAACTAGAAACATGTGGATAAATGTTATAAATATGAATACCTATAACTGTTACTTTATTACAAAAAATAAAGATGTGGTTTTTGGTTCTACTACACCAATGGTCAAGAGATGGCGCTGTAGTCTCCTGAATCGCGCTTTGGTTCCGTTGTTCCAGATTAATAAATACTTTTGATATTATAAATATGAATACCTG